CAGTTTCTGTGTGTGCGTGCGCTAGTGGCTTGTGCGCATGCGGGCTGCAAGCAGATGCACGCGTGCGGCTGCAGCTATGCGTGTTGGCACGGTTGTGCATGCGCGCGCGACTGTGTGTTTGCGTGCGGCTGTGTGTGTATGCTCTACTACTGCTGCTCGCGTGGTGCCTATGCGCGTGTGAGTGGCTGCTGTCGCGTTTTTGCCTGCTGCTAACAAACGAACTGCCGCATGACCTAGCTGGCTAGGGCATGCGAACTGGAGGACTAGGAGGGATGTGAGGGCTGGAGGGGAGGGAAATTATGAACTAGGGCGGTTTAGGAACTAACTAGGCCTAGGAACTTAGCACGTGATACCATCTCTAGAGTAGGGTCGCGGAATAAGTCGACTAGTAGGAAACAAGGTACAAATAGGAAAGTCGATAAAGTTGTGTATCCTCTCTAGTGTGTGCCTCACTGTAGACCAACATGCATATTTGTTATTTGACAGTTTCAACTGTCTTCGATAGCTGTTTGTGTCGCTCGGTCTTCGTTTTTGCTGTAGTGATCTTCGCGTTGTTGGAAGCCTGTATTTTGCGCTTCTGATGTATCGAAACACTGAATTACAAGCAAGGCGAACTACAGCAAGGCAACAACAAGTTAACCGAAGAGGTTGACAAAAATGCAACAGCAAGAAGTTAAGTGAAGGTCAAAGTTCTGCGACCTTTGAGTCACTAAAGGCAGCGCAACAGCAAGGACACATAGCTGACTCGATATTGAGCAGCTACCCGAGTCGTCATTGTATCAAACCGCAATGGTAGTTACATTTAGTTAAACCTTTTGTATTCCTTGTAATCATATAAAAGCTTGTATCTCATTGTTATTATCAACTCATCTTGTTCTCACATACCAGTGCAAGGTGGTTCAATCAGTTTACTAGGTGCTTCCGCTAATACATCGCAGCTCAGAGTCTTTAGTCTTGAAAAGATCCTAAGGGCCTTTCTCAGCCAACATGGTATCAGAGCTATCAGGACGAAAGACATCTCTGTTCAAGCTCCTAAAACAACAGAACGCATAGCTACGCAGAAAGAGAGAAGTTCGTCTACTGAATCTGCCAGTAATTCTCCTACTCCACCACCAGCCTCTGGACTACAGACAGAGAGAGGCACAACTGAAGGACCAGCAACTAAGCCTACTGAAACTCCAGCCAGTCAAGCTACCAGCTTCAGCCCAAACATGATAAAGAATTTTTTTCCTTCATGTCTTTCTACAAGCAACATCAACAAGCAGCACCTGCGCAGTCAACCAACAGTGACAACAACAATGGCGCTACTCCTATGAGTCTCGACGGCTCATCCTTTGCACGAGGAAATCAACAGCATACCTTTGCACCATACGAGCCCCAACGCAGCTCCGTCAGCGTCATGCCAAATCGGCTCCCACCTGGACAAGAAATGAAAAAACTGGACGCACTTCAAACGTAGTCGCGGTTCGCACACGTTCTGAAACTACAAACATCAACACCATTCAACAGCAAAGACTTTTATACCTGGTCTTTTAAGTTCGAGCTGATGATGGAGTGTGTTCAAATTCTTGGCTTCTTCGACACACAGGACGCAGTACGACAAGCAGCAGTACACGTATCGGTCACTCATGGCATACACCATACTCCTGCAAAACATAACGCCTAACGAGCAGCAGAACATTTGGTCTTATTGCGGATACGGTAACTCCGCCGAGCTCGCGTACAACCATCTGAAGAACCTGTGTCAGGCAACCGACAGCGTTAATCATGAGGAAATTAGAACAAGAATGAATGTGAACTATGAATGAAGCGAGTACAAATATGACACCCTAGTTGGGTTGTACCCCCTATGGGATACCCCACTATAGCCTACACAATAGCATAAGCTATAATGTTCTGACACACCCCCATAGGCAAAGTGGGGGAGAACAAGGGGTCACAAGACCAGTCAAGCAAAGCAAGCAAAGCTCAGGGTGGATCACAAAGTCACCACACATTCCGAGCACAAGTTCAAAGGCCAAAAGGCCAGTTCACATGCAGGAGTACAAATATATATATATTCAAGGCTAAGCAAGCAAGAGCAGGAGTATATATATGTGACAGTACAAGCAAGGTCAAGAAGTGAGCAAGTGAGGCAAGACAGGCACAAGACCCAGCTAAGTGCAGAAGCGCTGATGATCACAAGACGCAAGTGCCTTGGTGAAAACATCAGCAGTGTTGGCCTCAGAGGCCACGTACACAAGCCGCAACTGTCCACGCTGCTGTAGCTCACGAGCAAGAAAGTAACGGAGAGCAATGTGCTTTGTCCTGTGCTCTAGTCGCTGCTCTCGACACAAGGCCAGCATGGCCTTGTTGTCTACGTACAGGACTAGAGGAGAACGAGGCGGCTCTCCAAGGTCAGTCAGCAGGTAGGTGAGCCAGCGAAGCTCCTGGGCAGCCATAGCCCCGGCGTAGATCTCAGCCTCACAACTGGAGCCGGGAACAGAAGACGAGCGGGTAGCCCGCCACGAAACAGAGCCGGAACCAAGACTAAAGGGATAACCCTGTGACGACCGCTGCGTAGCCTGGTCGTCAGCCCAAGAAGCGTCCGCGTGCCCAGTGAGGACCACAGGACTCCGCCCTCCAAGCACTAGCCCCATGCCCGACGTACTGCACAAGTAGCGCAACACCCTCTTCGCTGCAGCCATGTGCTCTGGTCGGTGTCTCCCAGGAGCAACATAGCGTGCAAGAATGCTAAGAGGGTATGCAAGGTCAGGTCGTGTGCAGGTCATCAGGTACATGAGGCAGCCAACAAGCCCTGGATACGGGCCACTCGACTCTACGGACTCATCCGAAGGCAGAGCTAAGAGTGAGTGGCGAGTAGGCAGAGGATTGGCCTGAGGCGAGGAGTACGTGAAGCTGAAGCGCTGAAGGACCTGCTGCACCATGTATGACTGAGTCAGGGTAATGGTGCGGCGTGCTCTGTCCCGGGTGATCTGCAAGCCAAGGTAGCTGCGCAGTTCACCCAGGTCTGTGCACGTGTGTCGCTTCTGCAGCTCGGACTTCACGTAGGCGAGTCCAGCAGTGTCAGCTGTGGCAAAGACCAAGTCGTCGACGTACACGAGGATGTAGAACGGCGGCAGAGAGGTGTCGGAGCGCAGAAACAGCGACGGGTTGGCAGTAGCAGGAGCAAACCCAAGAGCCGCAAGCGTAGTCCTCAGTGTGTCGTGCCACTCACGTGGCGCCTGGCGGAGACCGTAGACTGGACGCCGGAGACTCCACTGGGTACCAGGAGGAAAGACCCAGTGAAGCCAGGTGGGCGACGCAGCCAGATCTCCTCGTGCAGGCTGCCCTACAAGTAAGCTGTGCTGAAGTCGAGAGAGTGGAGCTGGTAGTCACAGTGAGCAGCAATGTGCAGCAGTACCCAAAGAGTGGTCATCTTCGGGGTGGGGGAGAAGGTCTGAAAGTAGTCAACTCCCTACCGCTGATTGAAGTCACGAGCCACGTACGCGCCTTGAAGACAGGCGGAGAACCCGGCGGCCACTTCACCCTGAAGATCCACATGCCACTGACAATGTTGGCCCCAGGAGGGGGGACAGCGTCAACGTAGGTGCCTGTGGACTTCCAGGAAGCCATCTCTGCATCCACAGCTGCCTGCCACTGAGAGGAGTAGGGACCCTCTATCGCCTCCGCGTAAGAGCGCGGAGTCGGGATGTCAAGTGCATCCGGGTCTCCCTCAGGGGTTTGCAGTACGGACACGAGATGAGGTGAAGCAGCTGCCAGACACTGGAACTCCTCCTGCCAGTCCTTAAGGACGTCCGTGCCAAGGGCACACTCACCCCCGACGGACGGAGGACAGACAGACTCAGACTCAGCGACAAGACTAGCAGTGTAGTCTAAGCGACAGCGAGCAGCAAAGTCGACGAGCTCAGTAATGAGAGCAGACGCAACAGTAGACTCGAAAGAAGGGTCAGTGACAACAGTAGCAAGAAGACGCGTGGCAGTAGGACTGGCAGCACGAAGAGAGTCCGACTCAGGGTCGGCAAGTGTAGGAAGAGAGGACTCAGGAGGGGATGGCAAAGGGGCACGTAGAGGAGCAGTAGACGGACGCAGAGACATCCGGTGCGTGCCAGGGACAGGAGGAGGACGCTGGCGCGAACTGCGACCACTAGCGCGAGCAGCTCTAACATGCGACGCAGGACGAGACGCAGGCTCACGACGCCGAGTAAGACCTCCATTAGGACCAGCGTAGGGAGAAGGAGCAGGCAGAGGGAGGCAGGCTGTAGCTGTGACTGTGACGGGACAGGCTGTGGACACTCTAAGGAAGGAGAAGGATTAGTAGAAGGAAGAAGACCAAGAACCTGCTGCAGGAGTGGAACAAAGTACGGTCGAGGCCGCGTGACGACGCCTGAAGCAGCAGGGACAGCACCAGTACACTCAGCAGGAGCACCCGCTCCAGCAGCATCTCCAGCAGCACCACGAGCACCCCGAGGAGGACCGCCAGCGGTAGTCTCAGCGCCAACACCCTCAGCAGCACCAGCTCCAGTCGAACGCGTAGGCCCAGCAGCTCTAGTACTCCCAGTACGAACACCTCCGGGACCCGCGACCGCAGCACCCTCAGCCGCTGAAGAACCTCAAGCACCAGCAGTACGGCGCCAGCGCCGAGCAAACCACTCGCGTAGCTCCTGTGGAGAGAGTGGCTCCCGGCGAGAAGAAGCACACGGAGAACCTCCAAGCGGAGCACCTCCACTCTCACCACCCCCAGGCGTAGCACCTCCAGGCTCAGCACCCCCAGACGTAGCACCTCTAGGTTCAGCACCCCCAGGCGTAGCACCCCCAAGCTCAGCACCCCCAGGCTTAGCACCCCCAGGCTCAGTACCCCCAGGCTCAGCACCCCTAGACGTAGTACCCCCAGGCTCAGCACCCCCAGACTCCGCACCCCCAGGTCCAGCACCCCCAGGCTCAGCACCCCCACCAGCACCAGAGTCACCAGTGACCTCGACAGGCTCGACTGCGTCTACCTAGGACACACCTAAAGGGGCAGGATCTTGAGTGGGGAGGGAGTCTACCTGGGGGGGACCTGGTACAAGGAAGAGCGGGGGTGGGGGGAGGGACGGAGTGCGGTAGGGGAAGAGGCGGTAGTAGGGGACCGACTCGTCAAACGTGATGTCCTGGGAGGACAGAACACGTCGAGAGGTGGGGAGGTAGAACTGCCACCCAGGCGCGTCAGGGGGGAACCCCAGGAAGACGCAAGGAGCAGCACGAGAGGACAGCTTGTCCGCAGACAAGTCGCGGACAAACGCCCGAGATCCCCAGACCCAGAACGCCGACGCATCGCCAACCTTCCCCGTCCACAGTAATGCTGGGGAGGTCTCCGGTCTGGAGACCCTGGGGTGGAGGTTGATCTGATGCGCCGCGTACCTGACCGCAAACGGCCACAGAAAATGGGGGGCAGCCGCATGCATCATGGACGTACGGGCGACGTCCATGACCATGCCAATGCGGCGCTCAGCAATCCCATTTTGCTGCGGAGAGTCCGGAAGCGTGAAGGTCTGGCGGATGCCTCGTGCACGAAAGTAGGCTCGCAGAAGGCCAGAGGAGAACTCTCCGCCTCTGTCAGAGTGCAGACGCAGAACAGGAAAGTCCGAGCCGAAGCTCCGCCTGAGCTGGAGACGAGCTGCGTGGATCCAGTCGATCAACACCTCAGTGACATCACCCTTGCTGCGCAAGGGGAAGACCGTGGTGTAACGCGAGTAGTCGTCAACAACGAGCAGGAAGTAGTGCTCGTGACCCTGTCCACGGACGCGGGCCGGGCCCCACACGTCCATGTGAAGCGTCTCCAACGGGGCCTCTGTCGGAGGAAACTGGGAGGAGTGAGGGGCAGCTCGCTGGCGCCCCTCGACACAGGGGACACAGGCAGGGCCAGGGCCCTGAGGAAGGGGAGGGAGGGACTGGGGGAGACCAGACACGAGAAGACGGGAGGCCATGCCTTTGAGCCGAAGCAGAGAGGGGTGACCAAGACGGTGGTGCCAAAGGAGAGTCTCATGAGACAAGAGACGACACGAACAGGGGGCAGACTCATGACCAGACCTAGACGCTGCAGCAAACACCTGAACGGACGAAGCGACTCTACCAGACTCGGTATCAGGAGGAGACGCAGTGGTCAGTGTGTACAGGCTCGACCCCGGCTGACGGGTAAACGTAGCCAGGTGCCGGCCTGTGCTAGCCTCTGTACAATGCGTCACCCGCTGACGCGCAGGAGTGAACTGGTGTACTCCCCCATCCTGTAGGTCAGCACCACTCACCAGGTTCGTCGAGAACGAGGGGAGGTAGAGACCAGACAGGGTGCCAGAGGGAGCCGCAAACACGGGAGGACTGTGGAGAAGCGAGACAGTACAGGACCCCCAGAAGGGGTCAGCTAGAGACACCGCAACCGGTCGACTAAGCGGCGTGAGTGTGGTGCGGTCCCGAAAGAAGGAGCGAAACGCCCCAGAGTCAAGAGTGAAGGTGAGGGAGGCCAAAGCCGACGTAGTATCTGAGAGCGCAGACTCTCCAGTACCTGAGGATGCAGACACACTAGCACCTAGAGCAGCAGCGTCGTAAGCACCTAGGGCAGCAGCCTCAATGCCCGGATCGGGCGGGAAATAGCGGTAGCAGTCACCCTCATCACTATGAGACACAGCATACATGGCAGAGAGAATAGCATCAAAGTCAAGATCAAAGATGGCAACACCCGCCCTAGACAGCTCGCCCCAGCGAGGAATCTCTGAGGCCTCCGGGAACTGGTGACGCCACGCGTCCGTCAGGCGGCCAAATCAGCGCTGGGTGGGGTGCAGACCCCCACACTGCTCACCCGCACAGTCGGCGGTGCGCAAGACGTAGGTGCACGGACCAAAACCCCCACCCCGCTGGCGTGCAGTGTAACACTCACGGAGCTGCTGAGGGGACAGGGTCTCACGACCGCGGTGCTGCTCTTGGCGCGCGCCACTACCGGAGCCACTCCTCTGCAAAGGCCCACGACCAGCTCCACCGCCACCCCCACCGCCTCCGCCGCCTCCGCTACTGCCGCCGCCTCCACCGCCGCCTCCACCACCACCTCCTCCACCGCCTCCTCCGCCACCTCCGCTCCCACCGCCACCGCCGCCGCCGCCTCCGCCTCCAGTGCCGCCCTTGACCCCCCCACCCGCACCTCCACTCCCACCGTCACCCCCACTACCCCCACCGCCTCCACCTCCACCTCCACCGCCCGCTCCTCTAGCTCCCTTGCCCCCCTTGCCCTTGTCAGGGCGGCGTCTCCCGCTAGGGGCAGACGCCACACCGACCGACTCAAGACCAAGGAGGTCGGCCGTAGCAGCAGAGGCAACAGAGGGCAGCAGGGGGGAGGGGGAACACCCCTCAAAGATGGGGGTGTGCGGGTCACCTCGAGAGGCTCCTACAGCGACTATACTCTTCTCCGCTGCTAAGAGGGCCTTCTTGAGGAGATTGACAGTGAGTGTGGTGGGACAGACTGAGAGAAAGTGGTCCCTGACTACTCAAAGGGAGTCAGGAAGGCGAGTGACTAGGAAGTACAGAGTGATGTACATGGGGGGGGGGTTCTTGGCGCAGAAGTCAGCAGGGAGTGCAGCGCGGTAGCGAGTGTCAATAGTGCGGAGGTGCGTAATGAGGTCAGCCACGGTGGGAAAGGCATCAAGGTCAGGGAAGAGGTACGGTAGCATGAGACGGCTCAGTGCAGCAGTGGCAGGGGAGGAGTAGCGCGCGACTACAGCGTCGTACAAGGTCTAAGCACTCTTGTACTGACTAAAGTGCGCACGCTTGGAGGTAGGGAGGTGGCGACGCACAGCAAGACGTGCAGCAGTGTCGCGCGTGGCCCACTGGGAGCGAACAGTGGCGTCAGCATCAGCAGCAGGGGCAGGGGAGGCGCCAGAGGTAAGGTCAAAGAGAGAGAGGCCGTCTGCCCTATCGCACTGTAAGAACAGCTGCAGGTCGTCTACCCAGACCTCAAAGTCAATGGCCCGACCCTCAGCGTCAAAAGTGAGGACACTAGGGGTAGCCATGACGACAGTAGCCTAGCAGTACTACCTGTAGGACAGGGGCAGTGCAATGACAGGAGCGCTGCTCTTTCCAGACAGGGCGGGTCGGGCAGCTCAGCAGTACAGCAACGCGGCTGCTCGGACGGCTCCGCAGCAACTGCGGTTCGGGCGGCTCGGCCGGCTCGGCTCCCCAGCGGCTCAGGCGACTCGGGCGGCTTGGGCGGGTCAGGCGGCTCGGCTCCTTAGCGGCTCAGGGGGCTCGGGCAACTCAGGCGGCTCGGGCAGCTCGGGCAGGCCGGGCAGCTCGGGCGGCTCGGGCGGCTCGGGCGGGTCGGGCAGCTCGGGTGGCGCGGGCGGTGTAGGGCCGTAGGGCCGCTGGTAGGGCTCGAGGCCGCAGCAAGAGGGGTGGCGGGGCCGCAGAGACGGGCGGCGGGGCCGCAGTGAGAGGCGGCGGGGCCGCAGCTAGAGAGGCGGCGGGGCTGCGGAGACGGGCGGCGGGGCCGCAGAGACGGGCGGCGAGGCCGAAGTGAGAGGCGGCGGGGCCGCGAAGACGGGCGGCGGGGCCGCTGAGACGGGCGGCGAGGCCGCAGTAAGAGGCAGCGGGGCCGCAGCGAGAGAGGCGGCGGGGCCGCGAAGACGGGCAGCGGGGCCGCTGAGACGGGCGGCGGGGCCGCAGGGAGAGGCGGCGGGGCCGCAGCTAGAGAGGCGGCGGGGCCGCGGAGACGGGCGGCTGGGCCGCAGAGACGGGCAGCGGGGCCGAAGTGAGAGGCGGCGGGGCCGCAGTGAGAGAGGCGGCGGGGCCGCGAAGACGGGCGGTGGGGCCGCTTAGACGGGCGGCGGGGCCGCAGTGAGAGGCGGCGGGGCCGCAGCGAGAGAGGGGGCGGGGCCGCGAAGACGGGCGGCGGGGCCGCTGAGATGGGTGGCGGGGCCGCCGTGAAGGGCGGCGGGGCTGCAACAAGAGAGGCGGCGGGGCCACAGAGAAAGGCGGCGGGGCCGCAGTGAAGGGCGGCTAGGGCGGCTCGGCGAAGTGAGGGCCCGGAGCGCGACTCGGGCTGAGCGCGCTTCGGGCAGGAAAAAAAAAAAAAAAAAAACTCGATGTGGTGGGCCCTAAGCACAGTTCCCAAGGGGGAACCTGTTCGATACCATGAGGAAATTAGAACAAGAATGAATGTGAACTATGAATGAAGCGAGTACAAATATGAAACCCTAGTTGGGTTGTACCCCTTATGGGATACCCCACTATAGCCTACACAATAGCATAAGCTATAATGTTCTGACAAATCACAATCGTCTCATGGCATAATTGACAACGGTACAAATGCAACCTGTCGAAAAGGGAATGGCATATATCAGTTGATGCCGTAGTCTGCGCGATCGACTCCTTCGATGCGGTGGGTCAACATCCGAAGAAGTGTTTGTCACTGTTGTCGCCACTCGTCTCCGTCCTCAGTGGCGCTCCACCTAAGCCATTCTCCGAGCTTATGGAAGAATCTCCGAAGCAGCCCTCTACGCCGAAATCCACGACAAGCAACAAGACATGGACCTGCACGAAGAACGTCACAAGAAGAAGGCATCAGTACCGGAGTTGGCATTTCCCACTCAGCGGCGCAACAACAACCAACAACACGAACACCAAGCATGAAGATACGTACCACCGTTCGCTCACCTCTACAAAACGTCAGGGCACTCTTGCATTCACTGCCCCAATCAACAGCAATCAACACTACCACCACGCCAACTTCGACCTTCAAGCAGTCAAGTGGCCTCCACACAACATCATCCCCCCAACTAGGCGTCGTCTTTAACGACATCACAACCTGCAAGAGGAACAAGAAATATCATAAGCTGCATGACAAGGACAACAGACTCCTGCATCAACAGTTCACCACCGACATACTCACCCGAAGAACAGCTCGACAAGAGCACGCCTCGTCGCGAATCACTGGAGCCAAATCCGACGTACGCGGCCATCACCCAAAGCGAACCGTCCGGGAAAGACACTTGGTTCTTGGACATTTGATGCGGACAACACATGTGTTCTTTAGGTTGCTTCGTAGATCGGGAACAACGCCTTAACTACGAAGTTGTCATCACTGTCGCCAACAATTAGAACCTGCGCACACGACGACAAGGGGTAGTTGAGCATCAATCCCGTGAAACTATATCCTGGAGATGTCAAAAGTTTTGATTGCAAAAGTACTTGGTTACAACTTACTCAGCGTCAGTCAACTCATGGCAAAGGGAATCCACCTCGAAGCCGATAGCACCACTCAGAAGTTTAAGCTTTACAACGGCAAGGGCGGACTCTACATCGGGAAGGCAGTCTTGAAGAACAATGTCTTTGTCCTCGACTTCGTTCCAGATCAAGGCACCGCTGACAGCGACGCGATTGTCAACTTCACCACGTGGTCGCACCCACCAGACCTCAACCCTTACATCAGTTCTGGAGGTTTCTGGTACTCGCACAACATACCTGAAGCAGAACGAACAAGGGCATTTGTAGTGATTCAAGAGACGGAAACATCAACATCGGCAGCAGCAAAGACGGCAGCAGCAGAGACAGCAACAGCAGAAGCAACGACAACGACAGTAGCAGCAACGTCAGCAGCGGTGACATTGACAGCAGCAGCGGCGACATCGACAGCAGCAGCAGCAACATCGACAGAAGCAAAGACAACGACACCAGCGCCAATGCCCACTCAGCAGCAGACTTCCTCCCCACAGGACATTCACCAAAGCGCAAACATCACTGCCGGCCTTTACTCCAACTCCGATCTGTACAGACGTTCACCCGGACATCTCACTGACGAATCATTGTGGCATCAGAGGTTAGGGCATCCTAGCAACACAATACTGAACAACATGATAAGAGTAGGAGTGCTCAATAAAGACTCACTACTCCTACCCGACGGCAGAGAACCTCAACGAGCCTGCGGAACATGCTTTACCTGCCCCCAAGCCGACTTACCCCATCAGCCGTTCGTCTCTCACCACAACCCAAGCGCTCCAACATACGCACCACTGGAGAAAGTTTACAGTGACATACTTTACACTCGCGTAAGTGGACAAGGAGCATACAACTACGTCATCACGTTTATCAACACCGCCACCAGATATGTCTGGCACCTCAACCTTCCGAGTCGCAACATGGCCTTCGAAGCCTTCGTCGCATGGCTTCCAGTAGGAGAAAGGGAATCAAGAGTGAAGCTGAAAAGCTTCTAGTTATATCGGTCGCAGTGATTCAAGCAGTACCTGGCAAAGAGAGGCATGAAGCGGCTCATCTCTCTTCCCTACGCTCATCAGCAACAAGGCGTGGTAGAAAGAATGAACAGGTACGCTCATCAGCATTAAGGCGTGGCAGAAAGAATGAACACGAACCTCCAGAACACCATGCGCAAGCTGCTACGTGGCATGTGGCTACCCAACCATCATTCGCCTGAGGCGATGGACCACGCTGTGCTGTTGCACAACTTGCTCCCGTCATCCTCGCTTCCAAACAACGCATCACCGCATCTGTTGTGGACAGGAAAATTGGGCAACACAGAAATGTTACGAGTTTTTGGCTGCATGGTACATTACCAATCACACACTGCACAAGCCGGAAGATTCTCACAAATCGCACTGTGGGGGCTACACTTGGGCATCGAAAAATATTACAACGCGTGGAAAATCTTCGACGTCCACTCGAAGGAAATAGTAGCAGCACGTGACGTGATTTTTACGGACGACTCACTCTCCAAACGTACTTGGAAAACCTGGACGCAGAACGGGACCTCACGGGCGGCTTCGGTGGCAACCGAGCCTTCGCCACACCAGCAGATAAGGCTGACTGGGATGAGCAAAACGTGGATGGAGCATCCGAGGAAGCCTGACCTCTCCCTTACTATTTGGTACCTGTTCCGATGGACGACGACAACCCTCGCGAAAGCATCAACGCCGAAGTCTACTACCGCTTCGCCGACAACGGCTACATTACACCTCAGCCGGTCAACACAAACGATTCAGAACGCATAGGCCCCAACTTCTTACCTCATCCAGAAGCACGAGATTAAGCAGTCTATCCCGAGGATCCAAATCTCCCTCGCTACACTCGGACTCGTCATCGCCATCCACGGAGCATCGCCGCCAAAGGGGCCTGCCAAAGGGCCCTGCCAGAGTTCAGCAGACTCTGGGCGGGGGAGCATAGGGGAAAATGGCGTGAAGCCATGGACAATAATTTTAAGGCGCTCAAAGACAGAAACATTTGGAAGATAGTGCCTATCAGAGTGGCACGCAACAAAACCGTGCTCACGGGAAAATGGGTCTTCCACGTGAAGGCGAAAGCCGACGGAACAATTGACAAATTCAAAGCACGATGGGTCGTACGTGGCTTCGACCAAGAACACGAACGGGACTTCACCAAAACCTTTGCACCGGTCAGTCGACATACCTCTCCGCGAATCCTTCTCGCAATAGCCGCCATGAAGCTCTGCCAAATCGACATGGATAACGCATTCCTCTACGCTCCCGTCGATGCTGAGATCTTCGTCAAGCCACCACACAGATCCAACACAGACCCGAATCAAGTCTGTCAGCTACTGAAGTCCTTGTACGGCATCAAACAAGCACCAAGACTGTGGCAACAGTACCTGCACGCCCGACTAATCCGCATCGGCTTCCGCCAACTGCCACATGACCAGGGAATGTACCGACTTACAAAAGCCGCCGACTACATCCTGCTGATCGTCTATGTAGACGACCTACTTTACATAGGCTCCATCGATGGCATTGTCAGAAGTCTAGGCAGGAATGAATGAAGTAGGAAAGTGTTGGGTACAAGTATGAAACCCTAAAAGGGGCTTTACCCCATATTGGCTACCCCACTATAGCCTAACCATATATATCTTATATATAATTTGACACACCCCCATAAGCAAAGTGGGGGAGAGCAAGGGGTCACATGGCCAGTCAAGAGAAGCAAAGCAAGCTCAGGGTGGATCACAACGTCACCACACACACTGAGCACAAGCAAAGGGCCACAAGGC